GCAGTGGGTGGGTGCCTTGTGTTTCCCTGAGCATGGCTGGGACCCTAACAGCTACTGGGCAAGGCCCCAGCCCAAGCTAGGCCTACAGGAGGCTCTCGGTGCATCCCTGCGGGGCAGCGGTCCCCATGACAGACAGTTTTGCATGGACTGGGGCAGGGCTGGTTTCTGGAGGAGTCAGCGTGCCCATTTACTGCACACTTTTCATTTTATTACTGTTACATCGTAACAAGAGACTGGCGGGTCCAGAGGAGGAATGCTGAGTTGAGTTCCGACCCGCAGGTGGAGGCTGGCGAGGGTTTCAGAGAGCTTCCCGAGCTTCCCGGGTGCGGAGGGGTACCACACACAGCCTGTGTGCGTCCAGCTGCTGACTGGAGTGGGGCGGGGCACTGAGCCTCCCGCACCCATCACTGCTCTCCTGTCTCCCCTGCTCAGGCTTCCTGGACTGGGTGCCCAAGAAGATGCAGCGGGTGGGCTGCGTGGAGCTGCTTAACACAGTGCAGAGGCGCGTCCAGCCGCGGCTACACGTCTTCGGCCACATCCATGAAGGTCAGTGGTGGGCTGGGAGAGCCCCGCTGCGGCCAGCTCGCCTCCCCTCAGCCTGTCACCTCCCTGATTCCCCAGCCGGCAGGGAAGAGCCGGGTCCCAGAGCGCGCTCTGTGAATGCCCGTGCTCACGTGGCTGTCAACGAGCCATTGCGAAAGGATTTAACGGGAAGAAGGTAAATGGAAACCCCGCAGGATGTGGGGGCCAATCTTGCACCCTCGGAGCCCTGCAGCTCTGCTGAATCTCTGCTCAGAGATGTCTCCTGAGTGGGCAGGGGACATTTTGGAGGGTGGGCATTAGGGCCGTGACATGGAGGAGCTGTCACCTTCATGGGCCCACTACGAGCCCCTAAGGCTGGTGGCCCTGTCTGGTGCTTAGTCCCCAGGGCCTGGCAGACAGTAGGTGCTTAATAATGCGGAGAGACCGCCCGGCTGCCTGGGACGCTCTAGCAGTATGGTGATCCCCCAGCCCCGCCAACACGCACGGACATGGCACTGTGGCTTCTGGACGGAGCCTGATTTCATGTTTGGTACAGGCCCCTCTTTCGTTCCTCTAGAATATATATCCCACCTGTCCAAGGCCTCCTCATTCTGTCCCTGCCAAGGAGCCTGTTGGCTTCCATGGCAAGTGGAGGCTGACACGCTTTCCTCAGGAAGCAACTCCCAGCTCCCTGGCCCTGTCTGTTGCTGGGCCAGGACCCTGGGACTCCAGAGTGCCTGGTCACATCAGATAGTTTTCCAGCTCAGAAGCAAACAAGCTTCAAGCCATTCTCTGAGGGCTTCTGAAGCTCATTGTCAAGGGGCAGCATCAAGGACTAGATCTTGCCTGGCCCTGGAGGAGTTCAGAGACCTCTGGACAGCAGAAAGGCAATCCAAAACAAAATCAGAGAGGCTGGGAGAGATGACCAGCTCATGCACCACAGGATACTAGTACTGGCTGTCCTTCCCTGCGTCCTCGTCATGGGCAGGCAGCACCATCCAAGCTTGCCTGTGGCCCGAGTCACAACTGTGTAGGCAAAAATGAGGCTGCAAAGACGGGTAACATGCACAGGGGACAGAACTGTCCCTTCTGGTTTGGAGGTGATCTGAGCTGGAAGATGAGGAGAATTCTAAGAAGTAGAGGTGATGAGAAGAGGATATGATGGGGCAGAGAAGAAAGTACATGACAATGATAATGATGACAACAAAGATGACAATGATGGTGATGATGGTGATGGTGATAATGCTGATAATAGTAAGGATGGCAGAGGTGGTGATAATGGTGATGATGTGCTATAATAAGAGCAGCGATGGGGATGACGAATGTTGATGGTGATGCTGATCGCACTGGTGATGAGAATGATGGTGACAGTAATGGCAATGAGGATGGTGGCAATGATGGCTATGGTAGTGATCATAATGGTAACAAGATGGTAATGATGATGATGAGGAGGATCAGGATGATGGTGGTGAGGATGAGGATGAGGATGATGGTGTTGATGATGATGATGAGAATGATGGTGGTGATGGTGATGAGGATGATGGTGATGGTAGTGATGATGGTGGTGAGGATGGTGGTGGTGATGATGGTGATAGGATGGTGATGATGATGGTGATGGTAGTGATGATGGTGATGAGGATGGTGGTGGTGATGATGGTGATAGGATGGTGATGATGATGGTGATGGTAGTGATGATGGTGGTGAGAATAATGGTGGTGATGATGAGGAGGATTATGGTGGTGATGGAGGTGATGATGGTGATGGTAGTGATGGTGGTGATGAGGATGATGGTGATAGCAGTGGTAATGATAGCGGTGGGATGATAGTGGTGGTGATGGTGATAAGGATGATGGTGATGGTAGTAATGATGATGGTGATGATGGTGATGAAGATGGTAGTGTAGATGATGTTGATGATGACAACCCACTGTGTATATGTGCCAAGCCCTGGGTCAAGCACTGTACACAATGATAGCTCACTGGATCCTCACAGAAGCCCTAGAAGTAGCCGTTATCATTGTCCTCTCCACTTTACTGAGCTCGGGAGTGTCAGTAGCTTTTCTCAGACATGTTCTGCCCCTTGTGATGTCTGTTGACTACCACGCCCATCATGGTTCCTGGTTCTCCCCTGACAGACTTGTGCTTACATTCCAGGGTACGGTGTCATGGCGGACGGGACGACCACCTATGTGAATGCGTCTGTGTGCACTGTGAACTACCAGCCTGTGAACCCACCCATAGTCATTGACCTCCCCACACCTCGGAACTCCTGACTGCTCCCCGCTGCCCCAGCCCTGCCCACCCACATCAGCTACAGATGCCTGGCCGAGAGCACGGACCCCAGCCACCCTTCTTCCATGCAGGACAACCCAGACGACCAGTCTGGCTGCAGGGACTGGTGCAGGAGATGGGCTGTGGCCTTGGAATAAAGAAGACACCTTTGACTCTTCATCTCTGCCACCTGGATTGGGCCCTGCACATCCCCATCTGGGGCCCCGAACCCATTGCCGTTGTGACATCCCACGTGTACCTCCTTGAAGGACTGCAAGCTTGCGGGCCCGCCTTGCTTGGGCAGTGGCCAAGTCTCCATCCTTAACAACTGGACCCCTTTCTGGTTTGAGAAGCCACTGCCACTGGTCGGGTGTTAGAAGTTCTCACACAAAGTCTCTTTCTACTCAGGGGTCTGGGTGGCCGCCAGCCCCAGGGTTAGGAGGTGGGTGGGAGGATTTGTGCCCCGGGCACAGACAGCCCTTCTTGTCTGCCCAGGCTAGAGGCCCTCTGAGGGAGTGATCAGGACATCTCAGGAATTCGGGCCACCCCAGCCAGGCCCACAAGTGGTTCACCTTGTGTTGTCCCCTTCTCTTCCTGTGTGTGTTTTCACTGACTTAAACATGGCCTGGGTGTCCCAAGCTTTCACCTGGAGCCAGGATTTGGGGGTTGGTTCGACAGCTAGTGGCTCCCAGTCAGGGGGCCACCCTTGGTCCCACAGGGACTGTGCTTCTCTGTGAAGCTCAACACCTAAGGTCTGCAGGCTGAGGCTGTGGCACCCTATTGTGTGCACACCCACAGGTGTGCATGTGCGTGCAAACCCACAGACACACACAGCCCCCTCTTAACGAAGTGACCCTGTGTTTCTCTGATTGTTCTGTTCCTGGTTTGGTTTCCCGGGCACCACCAGGATTTTATCTGGCACACCAGCAGCCTAAGGAGCCCGAAGGGTTCAAATCCTGGTGGTCCTGGCACCAGCTGGCCCCATGAGCAAGAGAGTGGCCTGGGCTCGGAGTTCCACCATGGGAGCTTCTTTTCCTTCTTTGAATTAGGGCTGGTGGTGGAAGCTGGATCTGGGCAGTGTCGCTGAGGGAAAAGGATACAGCCGGGCCTGGCCTGGGTGAGGCGGTACAGAGTCAGATCGTCTTTATTTAAAATGTTGCTCATTTGTTCATTATGGATTTTTTTTTTTTATAATCATTTTGGTATTTAACAACGTCACCTTCCAATAGCATTATTTGTCCTGGTCACCCCTTCACTTTGTACACGGGGAGGAGGACTTCACTTCCTCACCAGGGAACTGACCGCCACTGAGCTCTTTTGCAGATAAAATCTCATTTCATCCTCAGATGGTCCTGCAAGGTAGGTGCTGTTGTCCCCATTTTAGAGGTGAGGAGACGGAGGCAGAGAAGCGAGGTTTCTTGCCTGTGGATGCACAGCACAAAGGAGGCAGAGTCAGGCTTCGAACCTCTGTCTCTGGCTTTGCAGCCCTCCCTCCGCCACTACCCAAAGTCCTGTCCCTATAAAGCAATGCATGGTCTAAGGCTCTGGTTTCATTTCCCCCTAAGAGTCCTGTTCAAAACCGGGGCTGCTGGGCCATGGAGAGCCCGTGGACCTCCGCGGGGTCCTGAGTGCTGAGCGGCCTCCCGCACCCCGGGAGGCCAATGTGTCCCTGTGTGTGACAGAGCTGGTTCACGTGGGAGAGGCGGCGTCCCTTCACGTGGGAGAGGCGGCGTCCCAGGGAGCCGGCAGTGGCACGTGTTGGCTGCCATGCTCGTGGGGTGCAGGACTTCCAGAGCCCTGTTTTGAGGAGGTGTTTCTGGGTAGCTGGGGATGTTTACAAGGCCTCTCGGGGTGCCTCAGACACGTGACATGCGTGGGGCGGAGAAAACGGGCCCTTTCCGTGTTGCCTCCATCCATTTCTACGCGGACCAAGAAATAGAAACTTAAAAACATTTTTCCTAAGGTATCTTCAGAATATGGTGTATTTTTATGTGGAAAAGAAAGTTATGAAGGCAGCTGTTCCTTTAAGATTCATTAAAAGTCCTTGAGGTATGAAAGATGACAGCGAGCTCCTCAATCATTTTGGCATAACTTGATTGTGGCTGTAATTTTTTTTCTTTCTTTTTTTTGTCAAGCATGTCAGACAATAAAGTCTTTGTAAAAAGAAAGAGCAGTCCACGCGAGCCTCTTCCCGTGTGCGTCTCTGCGTGAAGCGGGGGCCTCGGGTGTAGGGAGCCGTGTCCGCTGGTGGCGTCCTGAGTTCTGGGCGGTCTGGAGTCCACGTGACGTGGCTGGCATCCCTCTGCTTGTGTCTGCTTCCCTTGGGGTGAGGGACATTGGGGTGTGGCACGGACACATGCGTGCCCTGTGGGTCCAAATATCTCGACTGCCTGGTATTCCGAAACAAACTACCTCGAGAGGCCTTTGCCTGGACGCTGCCTGCAATTGCCAAGTTCAGTCCAGCCCTCGTCAAGCGAAGGGCCAGATGTTTACCGAGAAGAGCATTGGCAGGTGAATGGCCCCGTCTGAGCCACCCAGGGTGCACAGGTTTGCCTTTACTTCCTACCCCTCCCTCTCACCGTCCATCCGCTCACTCACCCGCCCAGCTGTTGCCCGACCCACCCAGGTGACCACTTAGCAGCTGTCCATCCACTCACTCACCCCGTTGACCCATCTCATCCCTCCTCCTATCTGCTCATCCATTTGCTCGATCTGTCCATCTGTCCCCCCACTGACCCATCCTTTCATCCACCCCTGCATCCGTCCACTCATTATTCGCTCACCAGCCTGCCCGTCTGTCCATTCCGCAGACGTTCACTGAGCTCCTTCCCTGGTTTGGACTAGGGAAGGGGTGGTAACCTGTTTAGGGGGCTAGGTCCAGGGAGGACCAAGGATGACAGTGGATGTTGGCCGCCCGTCACGGAGAGGAGCTGGGAGCAGGAAGGACAGATCTGAGGGAGGACAGGTAGCTCTGGGACTTGCGAGCTGGAGGTGACCCGGGGATCTACGGGGGTCCAGCATCGGTGGATGGATGGGTATGAACGGGGAGACGGACATGCTCATAAGCAGCCATGAGCCTGAGGGGTCTCCCAGGGAGCTGTGAGAGGGAGAGACAAGCTGCCTGAAGCAAACGGCCACGTGCCGACCACTTCATGACCCTCTTCTGCCCTCAGATGGCCCCACGTGTAGCCTGAGCGCCCCTCACAGAGCTCCCCTCGGTAGGCCCTCGCAGGTGCCCACGGCAGCAGGTCGGCCGTGAGTAGCTGCTGCCCTTGGTCAATGCGAGTCCAGCAGACTCCTGGGCAGAGGTGGGGTCCCTCTGTGGCCATGCTGCTGGTCCCACTGTCCCTCTGAGGATGCTGCTTTAGTGCCCCGGAGTCCCGGCACCCTGTGGGGCACAGCAGCTGTGGAGCCACATGCTTCTGCTGGCACGTGTGGGCGGCTCTGATCTGTCCTGGGGGCCACACCAGGGGTGGGGGCAGTGTCCTGCAACAGACATGTTCAGACCCAGGGCCTCAGCTCTCTGTGGCTCAGCACTAAGGTTACATGTGGGCACCCCTGTGGCCGGAGGAATTAGACAAGCCTTCCATAGCCGCTGGGAGCCCAGTGGGCAAATCAGCCAACCATCTGCTCTCCGCTCGTGTTTACGCCGATGCGGACGCTCAGAGCCCACGGCCCTGAAGCTAATCCTCGGACCTTCATGAGGACTGAGTCTCCAGGCCTTTTCCTCCCTGGAGTCCCATTCCCAAGCCCTGAAGAAACTCCGGGAAGTGACAAGCCCTATGGTTGGGGCCTAGTGCCCTAACGACGCCTGTAACCCCTCCTGGGCCTGACTTGTTTCGGGGGCGTCTCACCATACTGCCCCAGATACTCCAGGGATGGCCAGGCCCACCCTGCCATCAAAGCTTGGGCCATGAAGCCCTGTCAGCTCAAAGCCCATGGTGCCCTTTGGAAGGACCATCTGATCCCAGAAGAAAAGTGAAACCCCTTCCATGTTTGGGACTCAGTATGTGGCAGACAGGGCCGGGCCTGGGGGCCTCAAGGAAGAACAAGCCAGTGTACAGGGGTAGCCTGAGAAAGCTTCCTGGAGGGAGAAGCCCGCAGGGCCTTGAGCACCAGGGAGGAGCAGTGTGTGTCGTAGTCATCTCTGTGCCACGCATCAGTGCGACTTGTGTCGTTTGAGACCCTCGGCGACCCTGCAGAGGGGACTGTCCCCCTACAGAAGAGGGAGTGGGGCTCAGAGAAGGGGCATGACTCAGTCAAGGCCACACAGTCTGAGCCGCAGCCAGTCTGCCCGTTCCAACGCCCGGGACAGCTGCCTGGTCTGAGAGGACGCTGGGGTCCCCTCGCAAGGCAGGGTGGCCATTTACAGTTGGGTTCCCCAGAAGCAGGTCCTGAGACAGAGATCTAGGTGCATGTGACTAACGGGGTGCAGTCGGGAGAAAGGGAGTCAGGGAGCAGACAGGATGGGAAAGCTAAGCAGGGGTGTGGTCTTGGTGGGGATTCTTGCTTCAGCTCGATCCTACGGAGTCCTGGGGTGTGAACCGCACTGCAGAGCTGCTTCATCTGCCTCCATGACCCCTAGCTTTTGGGGGAGGGGAGGTCCCTGGGCTGTCCCTGGGCAGGGGTGAGAGGGCCAGATGAGACAGGGCCAGCCTCCATGCCACTGGGGCTCGGCGGGCCAGTCCAGCAGAGGGCCCACTGCAGTCCACTTTGCCCACCACCCTGGCCAACTTGCCTCTCGCTCATGCCACCCGGGCACAGCTGCTCCACTCTCCGGGCTGGTCCGAAGTGCCGGGAGCCTGGACATTGGTGCTGCAGAATCAGCCTCCAGTTCATGCCTGGCCTCCCCCTCTCCTTGCCACCTTTTCTAGGCCCCCTCACTCCGAACCTGGCTGGGAAGCCCACCCGGGGACATAGGCCCAGGTGCTGTGCTCTAAGCGGCTGTGGTGGGCGTACCTGCCCATCTGCAGCTGAGACTGGTCGTGAGTGCCAGGAGACACCTAGAGGGTGACCGAGTGCCAAATGTGCGTCTCCCTGCCTGTCCATGTCACAGAGCCCTCCTTCCTCGTGATGGTCAAGGTCCATCACTCTTGCCGGCATGGTGACTCGTCTTCCTGCCTGTCTACTGGCCCAAGGGGCCCCGGGGACAGGTTGGCAGCCATTGCGAAGTGTAGTGGCCTCTCGGCTAGTGCTGTCGCGGGCAGGGACCTCTCTGGGGCCCAGGGCGTCTAGACTGCTGGAGCTTGTGTTGGGAGGGAATCATGACATACATTCCCCAAGTGGCCACGGGTGATTGTGACCCGGGACCCCCCAACGCTTAGTTCTACGCCCGTGAATTCCACCTTTGGCAGGCCCAGGACCGGGAAATGGCCACTGGATTAAGGCCTATGCTTTTTTGAAGAGAAAGCATCGCTCTTTGTGGGAGTGCAGGGAGGCCTTGGCCATGAACCTGGGACCTCATGCGCAGCTGCCGCCTCGCAGGCATCGCATTCCGGCTGCCCCACCACGGCAGCCGCTTCCTCTGCCCGTTAGCACACAGTCCTACCTCATGGGGTCCTGCCCTTGTGACCTCTTTTCGCCTTTCACCTTACTTACGCCTTTGAGGCTCTGTCTCCCACTAAGACGCACTGGACATTAGTCTTCTACTGTAGATTGGGGGGCACAGTTCTGGCCATCACATCCTGTATCTCAGGGTCCCTAAAACTGGCACAGATGCGGGACTCCTGGATCTTCGCGGAATTCGTCTCCCGCTCTCTGGGGTGCGTGCGTTTTTCCCGGGCAGACGAGGCTGCGCTGTCTCCCCCGGAGGCCATGTGGGTTTCGATGCACTGTCACGGGACTGTGGAGGGGCGGTGGGGGCTCTCGCTCAGACTTTCCTGCAGAGCGGGGCTGACGGTAGCCCAGGGAACCAATGTGGTAGGTCTCACAGTACATCCTTCCCGGTGATGTATCTGGGAACCGAATGATGGCTGGTGGGCCCAGGACCAGTGACCCGAGGCGACATGGGCCTAGACCAGGCCTCCATTTATTCTCTGACCCCTCACACCACGCTCTACCCTCGGGATGTGACAGCTTCGGCTCCTGCGTACCAGCACCGACTCCAGCCTGGCACCCAGCGGCCTCAGTATCTGGATACACCCTTGCCCCGTGTATGCTGCCTGAGTAAAGGCCGCAGCCTGGGTGGGCCTGGGGAGGCCCTCCTGCAGGCACAGACCGAGGCATGGCAGGGTTGCGTCCAGGCAGTCTCTGCTTCTTCCTCCGGCCATAGACCTGAGAACTGGATTCGGGTCCAGAAACTGGGTTGACCCCTGGAGGTCAGGGCATGTCTGTCAGTTCCCTGCTGTGGGGGGCGGACTAGGAGGAGCAGATAATGTGCCCCTCTTTTCCACATCTGTATCACTTCTTTCTGTTCAGAGGTCACAAGACTACAGCCCAAATCCCTTGCTTCAACAGTGCTTCAGCCGCGTCCACATTCGCTACTTGCCTGCAAAGACTCTTGCAGCCTGCCTATAAACGTGCCAGAGCTTTCTCGCGGCCCCGATGCACCTTAACAAAGCAAAGGCATCCTCCAGAGGGATCGGGTGTTGTCCTCCACGCCAAGCGGCAATGCCGGCTGTTTGCTCAAAGGCTTCTGGTGGCATGCGAGTCTGCTGTCCACTAGCAGCGTACCAGTCCCTAGGAGCAGTTCCGCAGTCACTGCTGC